ACAGAGTATGTATGTATGCATATATATACACACATGCACATATATATATACATATACATATAGACACATATATATTAGCCAATATATATGTATATACATACTGTATGTACAAATAGATAGATATAGCTGCATGCGTGTGTGTGTGTTTGTATGTACGTATACACACACACACACACACACACACACACACACACACACACACACACACACACACACACACACACACACAAATATATGTATATATAGTCAGATCTATAGATCCATAGAAATAGCAAGTATACCTCTATAATTCTTCGTAGACTTGTATATAATATACTATACTTCTGTTGCGCCAGACGATTCTTTTATCACTGACAAAAAACAACAACAATATTCTTTGCAATATATTAATTCTGATAGACTAGGAGGCGTATTGCACCCTTTGCAACGACCCACATTGCAAGCCGTAATCCTCCTGGAAATGGTGGGGATCAGGGACGTAAATTGGACCAGGACGCAAGCACGCGCCTGTCTGTTTGCCTGATTGTTAGTTTTGTCATTTCTCTTTGTCTCTGTTTTTTTTTTTTTTCCTTTTTATGGTCTCATTTCGTTTTTTTTCCACTTCTCTTTGATTTCCATTCGTTTTTTTTCACTTCTCTTTAACTCCCAATCGTTTTTTGTCATTTCTCTTTCTCACTTTCGTTTTTTTCTTTTTTGTCACTTCTTTGTCTCTCTTTCGTTTTTGTGTATGTGTGTTCCTTATATATTATTTCCTATCGATTTTTTGTTACCTCTATATATCCTTTTTGATCACTTTTCTCTTCGCCTCCCTTTCACTGTTGTTTCGGCCTCTTGTTAATGTCCTATTTGGTAAACACAGTCGATAAAAAGTGTAATGAGGCGGTTCTGTGTATTATTTTTCGTTTCTTGCGTTGTGTTGTATGGCACGGAGACAATAAAAAATAAAGATAATTATTCACGTTTGAAATGGTATATGATCATTATCAGATTCTAATTGGCGATTTAATATTAATGTCGAACGGAGAGTGTTTTTAGTAGAAAAGGCATTTCGTGTTCCGAAAATTGTATAGTTGCTATGCGAGTCTTGATGGCATTGATACAGATGTGAGTGAAGTGAAAATATACTCTTTATATATTTTTTTAGTGGACTAGGAGCTATAATTTTGTTCCAAATTGATGCTTTACTTACTGATCGTTCCTGAGACAGACATTAAATCGTAAACGGCGTAATTATAATTCTTAAATTATGTATATATATACAAATGAACTAATTCCCACACATTTGAAACACGAAACAATTAACAATGCAATACTAATCATACCAAAACTAAAGAATATAAATGATTAATCTGGAATCTTCTGATCTTCCCAACGGCAGTGAGTGCTAAACTTGAGCCCAGGTAAGGCACAAAAAGCTTGCCTGAATGTTCAGACTTTTGCACAGCGTTGTTCCAAAGATTCGCACAGCCCCATGTGTGCAGCTCAGGCAGCAGCAGAAGTGTAGTGTCCTTTGCTCTCTCCCTCGCGTGGCCGACGGCGCTGCACCTGTACTTTCTCCTGGAGCCATCACCCCTGTGGCCGCAGGTGTGATGGCCTCGGGACGGGTACGGGGCGAGGTGTGCGTGACCCGGCATGGCTGGTTCTGGTGTGCTTTCGGTGTCTTTTTTGCTCGCAGGGTTCGTGGCTAAGGTTCTCCCCCCCGAGGGCACCGTCGCTCGTGCGGAAGGCGGCGGGGCAGTTGGAGGCGGCCGGGAGGTGTCCCGGCCAACCGTCGAACCACCCGTCTATTTCTTATAGTTTATCGTGACCGTTTATTTATGTACATTACTCTCTCTCTCTCTCTCTCAATCTATCTATTTCTATATATGTATATGTTTTTTTCTTTTCCCTTTTTCCTTTTTTTTCTTTGTCTTGTGTGTGTTTTAACGATTGTCCCGCTGGGGAGGGGGGAGAGGGGGGTGAAGTCTCCGAAACGGCGCGTTCCGTGAGTCTCTTGATTTCTCTCTCACTTTCTTCCGCGCGGATTACAGAACGACTCATCCTTAAGCTCGAACCTTGAGGCGGTGTCGATCGGCGGTGCATTGCAATGTGCAAATGAGCTTTCATTGTGGATTTTCGAAAAGACCAGTGCATGCTCATTGCTTAGTTCATTGGAGTTTTCGATTTTTTAAAATGTGTTTAGTGATTGATTCTTTTTTTTTATGCTTCGAATCGAAGGTTTCATGTTTTTTTCATTATTCGGTTCATGTGCTTCATTAGTCTGGAGACGATTGTCCTGTGTCATGCATTTTGCCTCTTGGACGTGCATGGTTGCGAGCCTTAGTGCAGATCTTGCGGGTTAGATGCATGTGGTGAGGAAAGACTATATATGTATATGCGTATGTATACGTATATGTATATGTTTGTGTGTATATGTATGTTTCTGTATATATATAAATATATATTATGTATATGTATGTATGTATATGTTTATATTATATGTGTATATGTATGAATGTAT